AACAAAAGACTATCACGTTCTGGTCTTCTCAAGGCATTTATATTGTTAAATAGCGAGTGTTATAGCGTTGACCGTATTGAACTTTGTTCTAGTATCTAATTTTACAGTTAACCTTACTCATTGAAATAGTCACGCAGCAGTTATTAGTACTATTTTGGTAGAACAAAAAGCCGTGAGCGTATACTTTGCGTCGACTTTAATATTTGGAAGAATGGATGATGGATTGATTAGCCTTAACATTTGTTATAAAAATATATTTATTTTATTTTTTCCTTGACTTATTTACAGGACATCAAATGAGTTACTCTCGCTAGAGAAGGCGGTGTCCGCGTGGGCGGAGTGGGAGAGTGCGCTGAGAGAGCTGCAGGGCGCGCTGCGGGGAGACATGGCCACGCTGCAGTCTCTGCGCGGACGCAGCGGACAGACTGACCTTGATAAGATACGACAGCTCGCAGCATCACTGGTCGACAAGAAGAAGGTAACTTACCCAACAACCTGTAAAAAGTAACTATCAGATTGTTATATCCGAGATCAAATGCAGAGTAGTCAGATTTGTTAGTAATTCGCGACAATATTAAAAAGGTTGCGAATTAGTGTTGCCATGATGTCTCCCAGTCATCTACCATAAACATTTGTATGTCTGTTTTTTTTTTTGAATCAGTGATTTATGTTAATTTGTGTTTGTTGCAGGGCGGGTCAACATGCGACTCACTATCAGACTCTGGTATATCTGACGGGGACAGCGAGGCGGCGGGCGGACGTGCGCGCCGGCTGTGCGCGCTACGGGAACTGGCGCGCCGGCTGCAGGCCGCACTCGCTCCCGCCTCGCCCGCACACCGCGCCATCGCCAAGGTATTGTTTTTTTTAAGAAGCTAAACGGCTGGCTATGAATGTTAAGTCAGACAGCCATAGACAATTGTTATTGGTAAAATAATGTATTTTTATTCAACAGCGTATGGAACAAACCGAGAACGAAGTGAAAACTTTGCAAGAATCTTGCCGCGCCCTCGTCGAACAGAGCATTCCCGATCTTAAAATTGACGATGACATGTAAGTTTTATTTTACTTTTTAAGTATTATAACACAGAAGGTTTCACCACCAAATGTTTAATAATATACAAATATCTTATCAGACATACGAATTTTCTAAGTTGTTAATAAGACATCTAAAGATTAAAATGGTGTTTGATATTTTTCAGTGACGCAATTAGCACAGTCGCCGGTGGTAAGACAGGTGCGGGTGACCCAGACTACAGTCCGCGCAGTGGGTGGGTGTGGCGCGTGATCCGCTCCTCGCTGCCCATACAGCTGTGTCTGGTGGCGCTGCTGCTGGCCGCCTGGCTGGTGGAGCGGCCGCGCTGCTGCGACGCTCTTAACTCCCTCGCACAAACACTCACCCCGCAACTGCGCTACGTACGCGGCCCGCCCCCAGTCTGAACACAACCCAACACTATGGCCTACATTGTTTATGGCTATAGTTTGACATTTGAAAATAGCGGGAATTGTTTTCCCTAAAAATTGTTGATTGCAATAACATCGACAATAATCGAATAACAATTTTATTCCTTAAAATCATTACTATTTTGTAACGTAACAAATGTATTTTAAAAGAAATGATGACATATGAAGTGCAAATATTTCTTTAGTTTCTGTTATTAATTTATGAACGTGGTTGTGCAACTTTTTCATATCGATGTTTCATGATTGCGAGACATCGATATTGTGTCAAATAAAAGGAAGGCGGAACATCCCTGGCATATAATTTGTCTATGGAACAGTGGTTGAAGTTCTACTCCCCAATTTTGAACTGCAACAAGGTTGTGATGTGATTTTTATTTTTATTTTGACAATACCTTTATTCGATAGACAAGAAACTTCTATATGTTAAAAATGTTATTACAAGCGATGCAAGGACGGCAAAGGTACTGTGGAAAGTGGTTTAGAAGAAAAGTAGTGTACGGTTTATTTTGTTTCTATAAAGACACTACTAATATAGCTTATTGCTATAGAGAAGTTTGTTGTGAAGTTACGCGAAAGAAATCATTTTATAATTATTTTGAAGTGTTTACTTAGAGAAAAGATTGTTTTAGATAGGAGTCGACTAACATATCTAGAAAAGAATGTAGTAAGTTTACAACTGTAAAATTAACTTGATACAATGATTGGATACGTCAAAATATTGGCTTACTATCTCATAGCCATAAAAAATAAGGTTGGAAAGTGGTAAACGCATTGAAATGAAAATTGAAAATAAAATAAAAAAAATTGCTCATTAAAAAGTGCAAATAAACGCAAAAGTGTTTTTTAAAATATCATCTGTATCAGATGAAGTTCAAATTAGATACAGTTTAAGAATAAGTGTACTAACATTTTGACAAACATTTCTTAGTTTGTTCATAAGCATGCCTATATTAGTACAATTAATTAGTATTTAATTAAATATGTATGAGTGCGCTTCGTGTGAGAGTTACTTTCACATATATTTTACTGCCATTTTCATAATCACCTCAAAGAGGAACAACGAATCAATCATAAATAACTCTATAATGTGAATTTTAAATTTCACTAAACAATAGTAATTTAATCATGAAAAATAAATCATCTTATATATGTTTACAAAAGACTGATTTTTACATCTTCACCTTTATTAGGGAAAAAATAGAATATTTTATGATTATTAACAATAAACATTTTTATAGTTTTTTAATAGCAATTTTACCTTCAATTTCTAGCCGTGAATTTATTTTCCATAGACAATTTTTTGACATTTTTTCTTGCATGCAGTGAAATTTATTATAGACTTTATTCTATTGAAATAATGAATAATACTTTAATTTTTATTTGTAAAACAAATATAATATTGAATGTTATTTTTTATCACTTTTAATGATACATTTACTTTGATGATGATGACGATCTTTTAAATTAAATCTTACTTGGATTTAATTCAATGACATTGTAACTAGTAAATTATTGTTAAATAATCATTATCTTCATTTTTTATTACAAATTAAATTATATAAAATAATACAACTATGTAAAGTATATATCTTAATTATTTTATTTATGTAATTATGGTCTAAATTCATGATTGATATATGTTTTAACAATATTTGTTGTATGTTTATAAATATTAATATATATTGTTATATAATATTAATATATTTATGTATTTTGATATCCTATTTTATAACTAATGCCTTTAACATATACATGTATATAACTATAATATATTAACAGGAAAAATGGTCTTTACATCCACCACAATTAATAGATTCATATAATGGCCATTTTGCCCATAAACTTTGTATTAAAGAGACTCAGGTGACATCAGAAATATTATTTTTTATGCCAAAATAATGTATTCAATTTTTTATTTGCACTAAGCCTTATAATTCACTATTGTATTGTACACACTTTAAAAAAAAATTCTTGACACTATTTTTGCAAATTGTAAATCGATTTTACATCTTTTCTATTCAAAACAAAATTTAACCTTTATTGTTGGATTTGAGAATTTTAAAGCTATTTATACCTTTTATACCTTTAAGTTGGTTTTTAAATGAAAATGTGTGTCGTAGGTTTTTGGGAAGAGTGTCAAAGTTATAATCAGTAGTGAAAACACTTGATTGTTGTGTATGGCGCATATTGTAGTGCATGTTTGATTTAGAAATAAGTATTTCCCTGTGTGTTATGTAAGGGTTAGTGATTTTAATGAATAAGTTGTTCTTAAACTTATCAATTTGACAATTTTTACTTGGCAACACTGCTATATGAGCAGACCACACTTACATGGTGTAATAAAATAATTATAACAATAAACTGACCGCAGGGAAAATATTATAAGATCATACAATTACTTTTAAAGGCGCATGACGCCTTTATAGTGTGTCATATTTCTTTTAACATTTTTTATTTTAGATTTAACTAAGATTAAATAAAAAGTGTATGGACATGCTATGACAGTGCATTTAAAATTTAATTTTTAACAAGGAAAGGAGCATAATAAGAAAATTGAAAATCAATATCTTGGCTTGTTTAATGGAAATAAAAAAAATGATATTTGATTTGTGTTTTTTTTTATTAAAACATTGCGCTGGTGTACAGCGAATTTAACAGATTCCACCTTAGGTTTTCAGATCAAAATCCCATATTAAAATATATCTCTGTTTTGTCAAAGATAATGACAGGGATGATATGTTTTACACATATTTTAGTTTCAAAAAGCAACTTTTAAACATCCCTTCTAATCCCAAGGCTACACATTAAAAGCCTACTTATATTTAATCAATCGCGTACCTTCATGAGAAGAGATATTGTGAATGCAGTGAAATGTAAAGGTTCGTCCTTTACATCGTCCTTGTCGTTATCTTATCTATGTAACATTATAAATACGAATGTTTGGATGTATGGATAAATGGTTTGTTGTTAGAAGGTATCTGCATAACAGCTCAACGAATCTCGATGTTTGGCACAGAATTAGAAGATAAGCTACTAATTAGGTTTATATAATTCCGCGAGGACGGAGTCGCGGCGACGGCTAATATGAATTTTAAAAAGACAACTGCTACGTACAAGTTGGAACTTGGGATATTTTTGAAGTTGACAGAGGGGCGCTAGTGAGCTGGTTAGATTCATGCCAATTGGTTCTGATAACCTTGCCGGTCTGTAAATACTATATGAAAAAATCATCATCCTGTTTACGACATGCTGCAAACATAGTTCATATTGTATCTTCTATCATCTTTTCTATATACAATTTTTTCATTGAATTAAGTCTGTGAAATTCAAATTCAGTTAATCGATATAGTAAATCGATTCCAACGTCACGTTGCGTCACGCCAAAAAAAAACTATGTTATGAATTGTATTGAAAGAATGTAGGTACATATGAATCTGATCTATCAAGGGTTCAATCATTTGAAATTACAGTAATATTCCCTAATTCCGTTTTGCTGGAATTTAATTTAGTTCCCCATCAAAAGATTTTTTTTAACTTTACCATCGACAATAGTTTGCGACGCTGTCATTGCGTTTCGCTTCTCTAAAAACTCCACTTCCGGAAAAACGCACGCTGTAGAAGAAACGTTGTTACACACGTGTTAAAACTATTTTGATTTAATCGTTTCGTTATTAGTTTTAGATCATTATAGTCGTTAATATTGATATCCGTCAGTTTTAAAAGAGGTGAGTACCGAAGATTTAGTTTTACCCTAATATATTATTTAGCCGCCTGTCGCCATGTTGGCTCGTGTTATATCGCCGTTTCAAATCGTGTTTGTTTCTGTAACCTTTACTTAAAAGTTTTTATTTAAGGTATAGATATATTACTCCCATGGTTCGTTAGTTGTTTGTTATTTTACATAACTTTGTTCTATTACTGATTATAACAAATTAAGTGTCCGTATCATTTCGTATGGAGTATATATGAAGCAGTTTTAATACATTTTTACGACACAGTTTACGTAAAAAGTAATTATTCAAATAATTAAATACATGCAAATGACTTCTAATATTCTTTAGTATTCGCGCCGAAAGTACTTTCGCCAATTTTGGTGGATTACATATTCTCCGCCATTTTGTTTATTTGCTGAAACACGAGGCAAATGTTATATTGAAAGTATCGTTGAAACTTGACCCAAAAGTGTAATAATGTGACCTATTAGTGAATTTGAGCACAAAAAAAAAGTTGAAATTGGCTACGTTTTATTTAAGTTCTAATAAAAGTTTTTTTTAGAACCATGGTGGGGTCACGTGTATACGTTGGCGGGCTACCATTCGGTGTCAGAGACAGAGACTTAGAAAAATTCTTCAAAGGTTTCGGTCGCATTCGAGATATTCTAATCAAAAATGGATATGGTTTCGTGGTAAGTGCAACTTTGTTTTTGTTTTGAAGCTGCATTGTCGAATATAGAGTCGCCGGCGTATAGGTTACATGCACTTGTTTTACAATGGATGAAAGAAACAATAAGCAACCAATAACGATGGTACTGCAGTATTTTCAACATATTTGTATAGTGACTCAACAACAATCTATGTTATCAGTATCACAAAGATGTTATCAGTATGACAGAAGATATTTGACTATAACTTTAACATTTTTATGACTTTAAAATAAAACTAATAGTTTTAATAAAGCAGAATATTTGGTGCCGGGAGAAGTGGCAAAAATCCTCATATCACACCAAAAACCTTTTATAATTTGTAATTTTCCAATATCCTAAATTTGTTCATTTCTTATGTATCATTAGTAACATACATTTCACATAGTTTGTTTTCATTTTTAGGAATTTGAAGACTACAGAGATGCAGATGATGCAGTATATGAACTTAACGGGAAAGAATTACTAGGCGAGCGGTAAGTTATAACTTTAATAGTATCAAGGATATGTAATACAATATTTTTGATATAAGATGAAAGCAAAAGTGGCTAATGTTTAATCAATTGGATCAAGTGAGGAACTTACAAAACAAATCAAATGTCTGGTTGTATATTAAAGTTGTAGACAGAAATTATTGAACTAATGGTTGCAGTTGGCAAGCATCTAAATTCAGTCTTTGTGCCCAACAGTTTTAACATATATTAATTTACAAAAATTTAGCTGCTATATAAACTGCACCTAGAACTTGTAATTTAGTTGCTTGCATTTTAAAATGTTTTATATGACACTAATAATTTTTTCACCAGCCGGCTCCACATACTAGAAGGGGTTGAGCGGTTGAAGTTTCATACTTTCGATAACCTGAGTATTATTTTTTGTCTATGAGACGGATGGTTCACAAATTTTTCTAAAGATGCTTACTCTGCAATTAAGGAGTTTCATTCTTTAGTATTTGATTATTGAATCTTGGAGTATGTGTTCCATGTGAATGTACATTTGGATAATAGTACGGCAACTTTATTTAGAATGAAAACAAAAAAAATATTGTTACAAATCAGATAAAAATATTGAATGATGAGGTATTATAGTGTTAGATTGAGTGGGGAGGGCGTTGCGTTATTGTTGCGAGCGGTTGGGGTTGCTTAACGCGCGGGGTTGCCGCAGGGTGGTGGTGGAGCCGGCGCGGGGCATCGACCGCAGCGCGGACCGGTACCGGCGCGACCGCCACTACGAGCGCGACCGCGGCCGCTCGCGATACGAGTGAGTGCGTGTGTTGTAGGGTGTCGGTGGAGCGCGCGCGGGGCGTGCCGCGCGGCGCCGACCGTCGCCGGGGACGCGACGCGCCCGCACCGCGCGCACACGCGCCCCACACCAACGCGCCCCACGCGACGCACAGAGACGCGTTTGTACACACACGACACGCGAACATATTGCATTTACACGACCACATACGCACGCTATTCACAAACTGTTATATACATACACACCTTGCACCAACATAACATAGTTCCAACCAGAATATGCCGACAATCTAAGAACCATCATGAAAATGCAGTATTTATCCAAGCCCTGAGTGTGGTCACTTTTAAAGGAGGCCGACCACATTGTCCATTTTTCTAAATGGTAATTGCAGTCATGGCATCTTTATAAAATAGTCATTTAGATATAAAAAAAAAAGGAAAAAGAGAGTAAACATTGAGAGAGTTAATTTTACACCATTATATACCAATCCACTAGCAGTGGACAACTAGGTGGAAAATGAAATAATTTTTTACATTGTAACTACAGTTTAATACAGTTATTTACATATTATACTAAACAGCCTGTAGTACACACTTTCCTGCTAAGTTTATTATTGACGCTTTTTTATATTACGTGTTTATTTGTGGTACCTTATTTCCTTTCTTTTGCCTGTAGTGCTGTTTCTATTTTGTTATTTTTATTTTATAGATTAATAGATTAGATTTCAATAGTTTTTAAATGGACACATGTAAGCATGTAGCAAAAAGACCACAGTAAAGTAATTCATAGAATTAACTTAATAACTTATCAGTAATTCAGGCAGTTTGTTTTGTTTCCATTTATATCTTCTTTTGATAGATGTTATGTTCTTGTATAATTTAAAAGCATTTAGTATATCTTACTCACTGCCTTATCTCTTATTCATTGGTCCTAAGTTGTAGTTATGTTTATCATTAGAATAGTTTTAAATTTAACTTATTAGATATTCCATAATACACTATAATTAAACCACTAAGCATGCTAAATGTGTATTGAAGTGCTTTAAGTTATAGCTGGACTTTTTGTGTTAACAGTGACTACAATTATAGATACGGACCGCCAACGCGCACCGAGTATCGACTTATCGTTGAAAATCTGTCTAGCCGCATTAGCTGGCAGGTAAGAGAGTGAGGGCACACCATGGCTCCATCATCATTCCATCAACACTCACACAGGGGGACCCCATCACACGGCCTGTCACACGCGCTACCGGCTCACTGACCCACTGTCGTGCACGCTGCCCACCAGAAGAGAACACTGGACGAACATTGGACAGGATAGCAAGCTAGCTGAGCCATGCCATACAATTGGACAAATAAAGAGATAATGGAACAATCAGAAGAGCTGCTAAATCGATTTTGGAACTATTTGGAGGAGAATTACTTGGATGAAGACTGTTGGGAATGGAGAATCCATTGATTGGAGGACTGGAGGGTGCCGAGTGCCAATGGAAGGGTCGAGGTCCACAGCGGAATGTCAAATAAAATGTAGCCTTCTTAACATTGTAAGTTAGTTTAAATAGACATTGCATAGAGTTCATATCAAAATATAATTATAATGCAATCTAACGACCTTATAGTTGATTTTTAAAAACGACAGAAGGTGGCGTTTCGTGCCTGAGCCCCCCCCGATGTAGCGCTGTGTGATGTGGTCTGAAGCGATTATATGAGGGTACATCGCCGCCGCCGCCGCCGCGCACCGCCCACAAGGTAAAGTAGGGTGGCCAATGCAGGACCCAATCTCGTTATGTGCAACCTCCCATTTTATATATCATTTTACTATCGAAACTCTTTCACGACTCGATTATTGGACCCTCTATGCGATTCGTCACTATTGTGGCAGATTATTCCAATTATTTGTTTAGTTTTTTCTTTATATTTGTGGTCAGGCAATGTTTCGTGGATGGTACATACTAGTTGGTGTCATTGCTTACAATGATTGCTGAAAGGACTTGTTCGCTACTGCAGCAGCATCGCCAACACATCCGCGGTTGGAAGACAGGAGCTTGCATAGGACTGGACTTGTTACACTAACGGCAATGGAAAACGGTATAGACAAGCTGTAAGTTTTAAACTCCGCGATACCATGAAAGGTACAGGCAACAAAATGAATGGTACAGATCATATAATTTATGTTTTAAACAATACGAAGATTGATTGATATGAATTTGAAAACAGAAAAAACAAAGAATAAAAAATGGCAAAAACGAAATACAATGGATGGCATAGACGGATGCATACACTAAATGGTAAAGATGACATGAAGTTGTACCCATAATAGTGAACATTTCGATAACCATAGACAAAGACACGAATATAATAAAGGACTAAGGAACAAATAATTGTTGGGAGCAATGACATAGATATACAAAGCTGAGAAAAGAACTCCAGGATAAGGATTGAATCGGAGTGAACTATTAAAGAGGGAAACCACTGCTGAATTGAAGACTGACTCGGAATGGGCATGTGAAGACTTCTTTGGAGTTAATAAGCAATGACAACCAATCAGTAATTATTCACGTAACGTTTGTTTTGACGCGTATTTTTTTTTTGTTTTACCCCCCTTGGTTCATTAGGTCCTATCCTTGATCAGGTTATCCTAAAATATTTCATTGTTAGGCATTATTTTTAATCATTCATTACTTATTTCAATGATGATATTCATATTTTTAACCATCTTTCGGGGCTGAAGGCCTTGATGACAATTTTACTCTGACGAAAATTTGTTTCAATGTATTCAGTTATTGTTATAAAAGCTGTAGTTCTAATGTTAACATGTTTGATCTCTAGGACTTGAAGGATTACATGCGTCAAGCTGGCGAAGTCACGTACGCTGATGCCCATAAGCAGCACAGAAATGAAGGGTAAGTTAGCAAAAACTTATGACATTATTAACTTTTAACACTACAGACAATTTTATTGCCATATCAAATTATTAAATGCAAACAGGCGTTCTAGGCCAATATGAATAATTTGGCACATATTCCGTAAGGCAGCAGGTCTTTTGTCATGTAACTCAAATGTTAGGAAGTTAAACTATTTAACTCCTACAAACATTAATAAGCATATATTATATTAATTCTAGTTTCTAATAAAAATATCGCTTCCGAGCATTGACTTTGGTAATACAACTGAAAATTTGCTCTTCTTGGTGGCTAGGACAGCAATGACGTTGCAAGCACTATGTTAATTTCGAGTCCTCAACCATAGCCACATATTACAACTGTATTTGTACTCCAGTGTGGTGGAATTCGCGACGCACTCTGACATGCGCGCTGCTATCGAGAAACTGGACGGCACAGAGCTGAACGGGCGACGCATCCGCCTCGTGGAGGACCGCCGCTCCTCGCGCCGCCGCACTCGCTCCTCCTCCAGCCGCTCGCGCAGCCGCTCCCGCGACCGTCGCCGCTCGCGCTCCAGGTGACCTCACACACACACTTATTTACATACACATCCCATGCACGCCATTCTAGCTAACAAAACTATTACAAAGCTACTTTTCAATACTAGCTATTTATTTTTCTATTTTGATGTATATGATGATACTACGAAAAACCTATGAAAATACACGATATTTAATGCTTATGTTAATGATGAAAATACTATTTTCACACACAACTATAGGTACAGTTTTTTATGATGATACTATATCTTTACCATCTTTCGGGGCTGAAGTCTTTTGATCGATAAAATTCTAACTGAGAAAATCATCACATGTACCAAATATATTTAAATGAAGTGCACTTTTTATGATTTGAATGATAATTTTCAGATCTCGTTCTCGCCGTTCGTCTCGCAGTCGTTCCCGTTCCAAATCCCGGCCGAAGACGAAGAGTCCCGTCGCCAAGTCCCGCTCTCGCTCCAGATCTAAGTAAGTTGATCGATAGTTTTATTTACTTTTAGCATGAGATCTTAGGTAAACTGCCAGTTCCTTCTAATTATTATATCTGTTAGTACTAATTATTAATTTTCTAAGTAACACAATAGTTGAATAATCAAGTACAATATTAGTCATTATTAACATAGAAAGATCTTTTTAAGTTGTGTAAGCATTTTTTGAAGCATAAAATCGTATGACGAAATACAATGTAACATATTGCAAGCATTTGTTAGTTTAATTAAACTGTAAAGATAAAACCTTAAAGGTTTGCAATAATTAGTTTGAAACATCCAACCAATTTGCTTGTATGCACCTATATCTTAACTTGAACTGCGAGAAGGCTGCTTATTCAATGTGAAATATTGCATGGATTACAATAATAACCTAGTGTTCATTTGGCTAGGTGTGTTGTTACATGCGCTGAGCAAAACTTGAAGACGTAAGTAAACTAAAAGCTATATAAAGTGTTGTATGTTTAGAACTAAGCATTTGTAGACAAATATATGCTATTCAAGGGGGCCATGATTAGTCAAAATTATTTGGCTACTTCTCAAAATATTGAATACATAACCAATGTTGAATACATTTTGCAATAAAATATTCCTTCCTGTTTTGGAGCAAAAAGACTTAAACGACTGTTGCGATTTCAATATGTGCCATAAAGACGGTTTATTTTTACACGCTTAATATTACAAAACCACGAACTTGAAATAATTTTGACTAATCACAAGTAGAGCTGTAGATTAAAATGTAACTTAGTGTCGATTATCCCAAACGCACAATTAGGGAGCGCAGCCGATCGAAGTCCGCGTCAGCGTCACCGGCGCGCAAGTCGGACCGCGAGCGCTCCCCGCGAGACTCCGCCGATAGGAACGGCCGGGAACGATCCCGAGAGCAATCCAGATCCCCCTCACGAGAACGATCCAGGGAGAGGTCCCGCTCCCGCTCCAAGTCGCGCTCGCCCCGCGCTGACAAGTAAGTACACCCATGTGCTCTCAATATACAACCCACGGATATGCTTCACACCTGTGAGATTATTTCTCTTTGATACACTCGAAGTGCTTATTAAATTGTAGATTTGCTCAGGTAAATTTAAAAACAGTGTAATACTGTTATGAACTGATATAGTCAGCTAAAGAATTTCCTAAGTTTGATTTTGAGACAGCTAAATAAAATATTCCGCGTTTAATGAACTTGTATTACGTATAATGTATTCTGGTATGTCATAGTTTGATGAACTAACTTATTTTGCATATTCTAATGAAAAATAATCTCACAATATTCAAGCATTTCCGTCGGTTATCGATTTAATATACAATTGGCGTGTTTCATTCAAAAACATTTTACACAATGTGACTAATATAATTGATGGCACAAACAATTTATTAACTCCATCCATGTTTTCCTGCGCTACAGAGAGAAAGCAGACCCGAAAAGGTAAGCTGTTTAAATGTTGCCACTCGAGCTTTTTATTAAATTTATTTTGCCCTTGTATATAGTCTTATGTTACTCTTGCTAAATTCATTTAAATTTATCTTAAAAGCTGAATGTAATGTTGTTGATGAAACTTTATTATAAACAAATGTTTAGAGAATTTTTAATTTAATGTTTATTACAGGTATATTTTGTAGGAAATGAAGTTGCTAATTGTATTTTATTTTGCTTTAATTTTATGAACATTGACTAAGTAAATGATAATCCAATACATTTGAGTCATGTCATAAGCGTTTTTATTCATTTTGTTTGTAAGATCTGAGCTCAAAATTAGAGCGCCCGGTATATTGATAAAAATCTATGATATTTGTTCACCCTGTGAGACGTGTGTGTGTGTCTCATAAAAATTTGCTGGCGTAATTAATTTTATCTTGCAAGTAGTGATAGAGAAATTGATGTTTCAGGGAAAGGTCTCGTTCGCGCAGCAAAGAGGCCCAGTCGCCGAAGCGCGAGGAGGAGCGGCGCGCGAGCAAGTCACGCTCGCGGTCCCGGTCACGATCCGCGTCTCGAGACCGCTCTCGCTCGCGGTCTCGGTCCCGCTCGCATTCCGCCTCCCCGCGACAGAACGGCACTGGACAGGACCGCGCCAGCAACGACCGCTCTCCACGCAGCGGCGACTAGCCCAATTAGTTTAAGACAATTAGGTTTACGTGTTAGGTTTATGATCTCGTGGCTTCGACCATCTTCTAAGCAATTGCTCTGTAAGTATTTCGATTCGCTTGTTACAAAGTTTTTACATTTGTAATCCTATAAAGATTTCATCTTTTTATCATAGCTTACTTCTTCCGTAATTATATGACTTTTAAATATGACTTGTAAATTTAACCATTAGTAACAGCTGCTCCAAATGATGGCTTCATTGGTACTACTGTTATTTGACTAGCTCTATTGACTCTTAATGACATCATTGCAACACTTATAATGAGTACACTTTTGTAGCAAGCAAGATTAAAAGTACTTACAAAAAACCTAGTTTCGCAATTGATGAGCTAATTTTAGATTCTGCCTGGTGTTAAGTAATAAAAATTTTCGGATTTATTTAATAATGGTTTTATTAAAATAAATATGATTAATTAGAAGATACATATGATTATGTAAATAGAGATATATTGTATTGTCAAGAATTACTTTAATATTTCTATGTGTTTGGTTTCCTAGTTGTAAGGTGATCGGGGTCGCGATTGCACTCTGTTAGGTTTTAATTATAAACGCACTTTGTTTGCGTCACTTCACTCTATGGACATATATAGTTTTTATTAAGTAATGCAATTAAAATTACACTTTGTCTACAAATTTCTAGTAACTCGCAAATAAGTACATATTAATAAACAGCAAAATGTTTGTGTGTAATTTGATACATTTGTATTTACTTGCATGTTTAAGTGCATTTAAAGTAATTCGTAAAAACTAGAAATGGAAGTTCAAAAAGTTCATTGACTTTGTAATTGAAAGCAATATGTTTGGTTTTCGCCAAGTTTTTTGGTGTATTTCTATAGATTACGTGTAGACATCCTAATATTTTTAGGTGTAATGGTACTTTTTTGTAAATATTACATTTGTTATAGTAACCAAATAATAAAATAAAGAATTAGATACAATTATTGCGTTTTATTTTCTCACTTCTAGAGATTAATATTTTCACGAGCACTGATGGTATGATTGAATATTTGCAGCAAGTAATTCAACAGGCGCTTAACTATAAAACTTCATTACGGTAAATATAAACCAAAAATGGTGGGATTTACGAACAGTTTTTTTTAACTGCGTGCGAAGCCAAATAACTACTTTTTTCAATTCCGCGCGGACTGAGTCGCTGGTGACAGCTAGTAAACTATGATTTTGAAACCAGCTATTAGGGGATAGACAAAAAATATATAGGGTAAAAATAAAATATTCTTGTTAATCTTTTGTAAACAATTGTTTATTAACATTTTATCTCTGTGCGTCGGTCGCACACAATAATACACATTCGTCGCAAACACTCGCTGCCGCGGCAACATCACACAGTTTGACTTTTATTCGATAGGATCTATTTATGGAATTATTTGTTACATCATCTATACAAGGCCGCTTTCATTTTTCTTTTGAAATTCAAAATACACAATGTGAATATACTAAAAGGTATAAAAATAGGAAGGAAAGAACAATAACGATTGTACTTTATCTAACTTAGACGAAATTATAGTACATTTAAGACAATCAATTGGTCACATGCAAAATAAACATAGAAAAATAGCGAAATAAAAAAATAAATTTATAAAAAGAAGATAAAAGATACCTATGAAAAATGGAATGATTTAAATTTTTTATCTTTCAGTATACTCACACGCCACACTAAATGCAACGCAAATAAACAAAGCGATCGAGTACAGAATAAAAATCAAGAAGTCGCTTCCGCTTCAGTCAATTGTAAACAAAATTTAAAAAATAATTTAACATTGATTTCTTCATTAATTTACATTAATTCAAAGATCATAATCTTTCAATAAATAAATTAAAATACTGTCATATTATTGGTGCCTAATGAAATATGATGTATAAATTTTATTTAAAATATCTAAAAGAAAAATGAAAGTTTAGTATTTTGCTGTGATCAAATTTAAGTACAATAAGTTTTAATTACGTCCGGCAAATGTTTATTAATCATAATTTTCATATAATTTAAAACTTACATTTTGTCATCTTAAAAAATTAAATACAAGAACATTATTATTGATCATCAGTCTATTCATAGTTTGATATAAATTTTACAATTTCTCAAAATCGTCGATTTAACCTTCTTTAATCTATGCATGAGTACAGTAGGCAACGCGGGAGGCGATTCCACTACTTCAATATATCTACAACACTTATAAAACTGCAAATTTAACATAATTTATCTGCAACGACCCGACGACGACGCGGCGTCGGCCCGGTGTGGGACCGGCGCTGCACCGTGGTAGTCGACAACGTCCACTTCACACTGCACGTATTAAAATAAATAAGTTAAAACAAAACATACCAGGAGTCCCGCGTTGCCTAACATTATTGTCCGTACTCTTACAGAAGTAATGGAGAATATACTTACAACGCTACAACTTAATAGTTTTTTATACACAATGACTTAGGTTTCGACATTTTGTTTCTTATAAGTACACGAAAATATTTTAACCTATGGCCTAACTAGGTGCGCGGTGATGCCGCGAGCGAGACGCGCGCCCCCTCCAAGTGCTACAACGAAATAGAGAGAGCGCGCGTGCCCTCGCGCACCAGACTTTGTGCATCTTCCATCCGGAGAATTCGGGAAGCGAAGTGAGATTGGAAAAAATCTATGTCGATTTTCAGAAAAACCTGAACATGATTTTCGATTTCGATCACTATTAATTATAATCATAGGAACAAATGACAATAATTAGTCAATCACAAAAAAATATATAAAATATAATCAATGTAAAACCGATGAACGCAACATTCGCGTTTTATTTGTTTATAAATTAGTCTAAAAATCTTATTTTACGCACTGTTTGGCTCGATTACTGGTGCGAGTCTATGAGAGGGGAGCGTGCGGCGCCGGGGGGGGGCACCGTTACCTACAGAGATCGCAGACGTGGACGCGGGTCCACTGCGTCCGCCGCGCGGGTAAGCCGCGGGACAGACGCGGGTCAGGCGCGGGTCGCGATCCGTGCCGCCGATACTATTTACATGGCGCACGGATCGCACTCACAAATAAATACATCCGAACGCTTACAACTAGCCGTCTATACAGGGGTCACTTTACAATTAACGCTATATATACACGCGGCGCACAGCCTTGATCGCACTAGCGTCCGTTATCAATAAATAAGTTATCGTGTCCATTGACGCTTCGGTAAGCACTACACTTGTGTGGCGAAGGTCGGCGGCAGGCAGTGGTCGTCTAACACGTACACCCCTCCGCCTTCTAGCGCCCGTTTCACTAGCGATGTATCACTGCAACAAAACAAACATAGCTTATGTTAATTATACTCCCGCACCAACATATATGTGTAAAACATTGTTCAAATTTTCGCAATTTATTAACGTACACAAATTTTAATCGACAGCATGTCGTTATGCGTGTACTGTGCTACCTATCATTTTATCGTTATGCTCAATTCTGTGTTGGCAGTGGCAGAAATTTCTTTACAAAGTAGTATATAATAGGTAGATAAGGCATAGATACTGACCTATTCGCACAGTAGGCGGAGTCTGCGGAGAGCCGCGAGAGGCGCGGATCGAGCGCGGCCAGCAGGCGCGCCGCACTCTCCGTGTTGAGCGTCTTTCGCTTGCACTCCTCTGCGGCCGCGTTGTGCGCATTCTGGCACTCGGCGGGCGCGTCGCACTTGCCCCACGTGTTGCGGATGACGCGCCCGCCTGCGTTGGCCGCGTTCTGCGCGCGCGCCTCCGCGTCCGCCGCCCGCGCCGCTCTCCGCCGCCGCACGCATAGCGCCGCGCCCGCCGCCAGCGCTACCAGCGGCACGAGCGCGCTCGCCGCCGCGATCAGAGCCACGTGCCCGCGCTCCAGCGGCGCCGCCTCTCCCGCCGCGCCCGCCTCACTCGCGCCCTCAGCCTCGTCGCCCACGCGCCGCAGGTGCCCGCCTGCCGGTTTCGCGGCTGCCAGCTCGGCCAGCGACACCGTACACAGCTTGCCGCTCCAACCGCGCGGGCACAGACACGTGTAGCCGTCCACACGATCCTTGCACGTGCCTCCGTTCCTGCAGGGCGAGGAGGCGCATTCGTCCACGTCGATGCTGCAGTCCTTGCCGGCGAAGCCCGGCCGGCACCTACACTCGTAGTCGTTGTCGAGCACCAGACATTCTCCTCCGTTCGCGCAAGGCTTCGCGAGGCACAGGTCCACTCGGGTCTCGCAGCGGGGGCCGAGGAAGCCGGGCGCGCACTGGCAGCGCTGGCCGTTCACCAGGTCTACGCAGGTGCCGCCGTGCTCGCACGTGATGCCGGCGCAGTCGTCGATGTCGATCTCGCAGCGGTTTCCTCGGAAGCCCGACTTGCAGTTGCAGCGAAAGCCGTCGCCGGCGCGAGAGCAGGTCGCGCCGTTCCGGCAAGGGTTGGCGGCGCAGGGGTCGGCCTCGAGGCCGCAGTCGACTCCGGCGTACCCGGCGGGACACATGCACACGTAGCCGGAGGCGCGGGGTTCGCAGGTTCCGCCGTTGCGGCAAGGTCTATCGGCGCAGGTCAATCTCCTGGTCTCGCAGCGCGCCCCCTCGTACCCAGAAGGGCAGGCGCAGGACAGTTCTCCTCCCTCGTCGGGTACACAGGCTCCCCCGTTGCGACAAGGTCGGACGGCACAGGAGTGCAGCGACTTCTCGCAGTCGGGGCCCGTGTACTCTGCGGGGCAGACGCAGGTGTAACTGCCTTGGCCCGTGTTGTGGCAGGTGCCGCCGTTCCTGCACGGGCGGTGGTTTGTGCAGTAGTTGAGGTCCTGGTTGCAGAACAGGCCGCCCCAGCCCTCCTCACAGATGCAGTCCCACGGCTTAGAACAGGTGCCGTGCACGCATCCCGGGTGCCTCTCGCACTGGTCACATAGTTCGCCCACCCAGCCCGAGTGACAGCTGAAAACAAAAGGAAACATGAGTCAATAAACAATACAACATGATAACAAGCATCTAAAAAGCGTGTCTTTCACCGCTTAGAGAATGATGAGGCGCATGCAGGATAAAGACGCGGAGGGAGGCAGGTAGGTAGCTAGAACGTTTAGCACAGGGGTGTGAAGTGGATACTCACATGCATTCGTCGGGCTTGAGGCAGTGGCCGTGCTCCGCGTCGCAGCCGGGCAGGCATCGCGCTGAAACAAAAGAAACCTTTCTTAGTTACAGTCGGACACACAATACGTATAGCGCTCGTGCTAACTGCGACCCACTGTGATCACGACAGATCCTTCGAGCACTCGCCGCATCTCGGTTTGCAAAGGACACGAATGACAAAGAGAGAGGTTCGTTAGAGCTCCCGCCGGGGCCGGGGGCGAGGTCGCGCGCACGTCGATTTATCTCTCAACCAGTATAACATCCTCAACAAAGTTTACGACCCGCATTAAATACATTTTTATTTCGAAGGTGTAACAGGTGTGCGCTTCTTTGTTTTACATTGACTCCGTCGCTATGGCAACAGTAATTTTTAACAGTATTAATTATAAAAGATGAGTATTTTCTACAAACGTAAATTATTAGAAATGTAATACGCGCGTCGTTAACCGTGTGATTTACGATCCGTACACCACGAACCTTACCCCGGTGTAGAGGTACCGGTGGTACCAGGCGAGCGTGCGCCGAGGAGCGGCGCGAGTGCGCGGAGTGCATTGCGGTTTGTGAACCCGAGAAGACGTCAATAACAAAGGTAATAGTGGTAATGTAAGCCGCCAGAAAAAAATAGTGTTTAGAAATAAGAAGTGTGGCGCGCACTCGTATCGGTCGGGTGCGCACGGGCAACTTATCGGAGCGAATACAAAGGGGGCAGATAGCGCGGGGAGCCTAACCGACGCTCGACCGTTACTAGTCCCCTAACTAGAAAAATGCTAAGGCGCCATTTTACTGTCGACTCGCGTTTCCATCACATATAATCCGACTTTATACTGGTTTAAATTAAA